GAGACGGCGGGATGCTGACGCCCCTGTACGGAGATGCGAGAGGATTACAGTTATTGGGGGAAGTAGGGGAAGGGGTAGACCTAAGAAGAATTGGGAGGAGGTGATAAGACAGGATTTAGGACTTCTCGACCTGACTGAGGATATGGCCCTAGATAGGAACCTTTGAAGAACTAGGATTAGAGTAGCTGGATAGAAGCTCGGTGTTGTAGAGGTTGTTTTGTAGTGTGTTGTATTTGTTGGGAATCTTTTGCTATTGTTTGTACTTGTTGCTTGTACTTGGTGCCTTATCTGTGCTATACTGTGTTCTCTTCCATATTTTTGTGCAGGTGGAGCCGGGGGTCTCTTGGAAACAGCCTCCCTACTTCCGAGTAGGGGCAAGGTCTGCGTACACACACCCTCCCCAGACCCTACTGTTGTGGGATTCAACTGGGTTGTTGTTGTTGTTGTATTTGATAAAATAAAATTTTCTTAACACCTCTTATTTCGAAGAATTTTTCATATAGTTGTAATTTTTTTTATACCAACACTTAAATAAAATGAATTGAAAAAACTTGATACTATCCTGTTTTGTGTAATGTAATAAACATTTAGGGACGAAGGGAATATAACTGTATCTGCAACATTAAAAAGAATTACGAGTACAATAAATCACAAACATCGGGTAACCCAGTGCCCAATGTCTCCCCAAGAATCAAGCAAGGGCAACCATGAAGTAATTACAAAGAGAGAAATAGAAATAGACGAAAAAACCAGCAATCCACACCATATGTCCAACACAGAATGACTAGCACCATTTGTTCATCCCTTGATACATATAGATAGAGAGCCTTTAAAAGTATTGAGAGGCCTTACTTCCAAAGGCGCCACAAGTTGCATCGATTTGATTGCAAGATAAAGTCAGACCGATGGAATCACGCCTTGCCACATTGTATAGTTCTTTTGTAGATGCAAGAGCAAAGAATGATGCAAATTCTACAATAATACAGAATTTTGGTAGCACTAGTTAGTAATCTCCCCTCCTAGCACCGAATCTCGTAGGAGCCTGCTTTGGTAATGTAACGGACCCATTCAACAGTGTTATAGCCACTTTTCTCCCACACCTGCAGGATGTTATTGGTTGGTGTAAATGATTATTGGTTATCTTTGATAAAGCTATATAGAGCTATTTGTCGTCCACTAAAAAGGGGCATTGGTGGAAGTACACATAAGGTAACACCAACTGACCTTCAAAAAACGAACGCGTAATCCAGATGCTGTAAACATGGGAACCTGTATATGCATTTGGTTAGTCATGCTGTCCCCAAGCTAGGATGTAAACTACGCCGAGCCAAAGAAAAAACAAAAAGCAAAGCGGAAAAATGGGTAGCCAACACTTCAGTTGGTGAGGCAAATAGTTCATGAGCACGTTTGGTAAATATATCATTGGTTGGCTTATCAGAGTAAAGTAAAGCATAAGTTCAAATATTTTTAAGAATTTGTTAATGGCCCGATTCCTGTGGAGCCAAAGATTCACTATTTTTTGGCTTTGGGGTATGATGGAATAAAGCAAATTGGCTCATTTAACTGTCTGTGCTTCTTGGAATTGTGAAGTAGCAGTTAGTCAATGCAACTTTCGACACTCATCATGGGTCATCTGAAACAGCCGCTCTATGTTTTAAACATGGGGGTCAGACTGCGTACATCTGACCCCCCCTTTACCGTGCAATGGGCGGGAGCCGTTGAGGCACTGGGGTAATGTTGTTGTTGTTGTTGTTGTTAACGGCCCGGTCCCGTTGCCACTGGACAATGGAGCCACTGAGTTTTCGGAGCACAAACCCCCCCCCCTCCAAACGTGTGGTCATTAGGCAATTACCTAATGACCCATTGACCACACATTTGGAGGGGGCAGAGGGGAGGGGTGGCGTGTTTCCTTATTCGTCCGCCCATAATAGAACTTCCATGTTTGACCAAACAAGAATATTAAGAAAAGTTAAAATTTGGGTTGACTTTCCAAAAAACACCCTTCCCTCTCTACATTGTTTCTCATTTTACCCAAAAATGTCCTACGGAGTGGATCTTAGAACTCCTTCTCCGTCCCCATTCTTCTCCTCTCTTCTCTGTGACTCTATCCCTCTCTATTTCACCATCCTTCTCTGTTTCTCCTCTCTTCTCCATCCCTCTCTCTATTTATCCTCTTTTCTCCGTCCCTCTCTGTTTCTCTGTCCCTCTTTGTTTCTCCGTCCCAAAAACGACCTACGGAGTAGATCTTAGATCTCTGCTCTCTTTCCTTTTTTCTAATTAAGAAGACGATGAGGAAGATGAATAAGAAGAGAAAGAAAAACGGATAAGGGGTCAAGAGATCTGATTTGGACGGAGGAAATGAAGAAGAGGATTGTAAGGGTGAATGTAGGTGGGTGGGTGGTAATAAACGGGTAAAGGTGGGGGTCGTAATATCCTTTGAAGTAAAAAAAACTTCCAAATAATGAAACGGGAAGTTTTTTTATGGGTGGACGAATAAGTAAAGTGGTAAGTTCTTTTATGGACGAAGATAGTACATGGTAAAATTGCGTACATCTTAACACCCACCTCCACCCCTCCTCAGACCTCAACAAAGTTTGGATTCTACTGGGTTTATAGCTGTATCTACTTCTAAGTAAGGACAAAACAGAGCACCTGAAATTCCATCTGAATGGGTGGCCGAGTCCATGATTTCTTCTCCGCGATAGTTGAAATCAATTCTACTTCAGCACTCAATGTTGACTCAGTTTGTCCAGGAAATTTTCTTATCCTGCAGCAAATATATGCAATGTTACAACTAAATAAGTCTTATTAATACTTATAAGATGACCAGCTTAACCCTAACTACAGTGAGACCAGTGGCATGATATTTGTATAGTGTCAGTTAAATGTTTAAAATTAGTTAAAAGGTTTTCTTTAACCAAAAAATTAGTTAAAATGTTAAAACTCATTAAAAAAGCACTAGTAATGAAATGGTGTCAAATACTCAAGTGCCCTTCCCACTGCAACCTTGTGTTATCAAGGAAATTGAGATGAAATTCAAAAACTTTCATCAATGTGTTTCCCCACTTGAATGAAATGGATGGAAAATATCATGGGGCATTCCCGAATTGAGATAGTTATGTAATCAACAAATTCTTACTCTGTCCCTAAATTATCTTTCAACTTACTTTTTTCATATGTTTCAAAAATATCTCCTATTTCCTTTCAAGGAAAATATTGTGATTCATGTTGTTTTTCTCGCTAACAAAACCTCAACCACGCAGTTCTCATTTTCTTAACCTCTGGGCCCGGTAAAAGAAGGCTTTGATTTAGGGATGAATGAGGATTAAAAACTACAGAGTATTCATCAACCGAATTTAAGGTACTCACTTCCAGACTAAACTGTCAATAGAAGGATTATATTTTGCTCTCCCAGATGTCACCTGAAAATGTGCTTTTGCCGTTTGCTTTGGTACTGGAATTTTAATCACAACTCCAAGTGCAAACATTTTAGCACCAAAGACACTCTTAACCTGAGGGAAAATGTGCATACATGGAAATATATTCAAGTTAACAGGAAGATGGTAATAGATAGCTAGAAACTCCAAAGATAAGTGGAAACATATTCAACATGCATGTTATAATAGATTGCTATCACACTGCAAAAGTGATCATCAAACCTTTACGTTCACTTCCATACGTGTCCGACCTAATTCATTGATAGTTGGCAAGACACGGAAAGGAAGATTTACTCCTTCAGTAATGCGATATCTGCAGAGAGAAGGCATTAAACCCCAAAGTTCAAGGAACATTCTATTAAGACATGGTAGGTAAGGATATTCCTAATCACATTCCAGTTGCCACAAATGCAAAGTAGCTCATCTTCACATTCAATTGAAATAAATGCAGTACATGATTATACCATATCAACTATCAAGGAAATGTGTTGTGGACTAGAGTTCCAAGGAAACCTTTCTTTCTTGAACTGTAGGTATTCTAACACCAAGAGCTGCAGATCTAACATTTGCTTGATTGCACTTCTATACGGCTCTACGTTCTTGTGTATTAGGAAATTTTAACAAGAAATGAATTATTGACATACTTCATCAATTCGAATTCACCATCAGGAGGGACAAAGCTGACTGTCTTCTCTGTGTTGAATCTTGTCAAGTTTACACACTGATGGAAAGTGACATCATCAAGCTCAATAGTCTTTCCACTGTATGAGGCAGCAAAGTACGTCAGACAACATGCACAACTAAACGATTATAGAGGTGCTCAGAAAAACTTTGTCCAAGCCCAAATAAATAATTGTAGTAGACAACTTGAGAGATTGAATAAAGGAGCAGAATGAAAGAGATGGGCCTGCAGAAGATACCTCTTGGTTGGCCGTGATTTTAGTTGTGACTCTTTCTCAAGGCCAATTTTATCGTTTAAACCCAACTTCAGATCGGGCATCCCCGAAAGGAAACACTTCAGGAGGATTTTTCCAGTAACATCACAACGCAAAACACTACCTACAATTGTAACCTTCTAATTATAGCCAGATATGGAAAACATTTTGTGAAACAAGTTTTCACTTACCTTTAGAAGACATGAGAAGATTGACACTTTCAACAATATCCAGAAACACCTATCAACAACAAAGATGAAATTTAAATATAATTGCTACTATCAGGAATATATCATTAAGAGGACTTATAAAAACAACCTAGTTGGATCCCACTAAGAGGACATATAAGAAAATCAAAGGAAAAAGGATTCACCTCGTTCTTCTTGTATGAAAGACCCTCCCTGCGCCAGCCAACAGCACCAGTGACTTGTAATGTTGCATTAGGGACTGGCCTATCAACAGGCTGTTTAATATATTTTTTATCACAAGAAAAATAAGTACACTCGTAGAAGAAGTATCCGGTTATTCCCCATAATTGGATTATTATTGAAGGCTATCCTTCAATTTACTTTAAGCCAAATGTCAACAACTTGCCTTGGATGAAAATGGAGAACGCACACCTTCTTGAGTAATGTAGAGCTTCAAAATTTCAGGCGAAAGATTCTGAGGGTAACCGAAGTCCATTATTTCTGAACAACAAAAAGTTCATTAAAGTCTGACCATATTAAGATTTTAGAAGAAATTGCATTGTCTTTCATTAAAGTGAACTCGTGAAAAAAATATGTGATTTACATGGTTCGGAACAAATAAGAGTTGTGAAGGCGTAAGAGGCCACATAAATGAGGTCTCCGAGGATACGCCCGAAGCTTCAAATCTCACAGAATTCCCAGGTCATATCAGGTCCACTGCACGGGATTTTATTGAGAACTTTGACTCAACCCCACACATGAAGATGGAGGGCCTAGCTCTTGTCCTGACCCTGAAGTCACAAGTCTTGACTCTTGAGTCCCGAGATCCAAGGTAACAAGGTTACAGGGTTCATGATTCCGAGTCCAAGGGTGTTAGGTATATGATTCCACGGTCCAAGGTTGTTCCCTAAACTGTTACTCCCTCCGTCCAGAAAATAGGTTCCTATTGCACTTTACAATGTTTGACTGAAGTTATTTTTAATTCAATATATCTCAACACTGGTGTAGAAAAAATATATAAAATTACATATTTAAAAACTGCATCAAAAGATTTATAAAACAAGATGTGACATGACTATATTATTTTATCAAATGAGTAATGAAAATAGGTAAAGAAAGTGGTTTAAGTTTGAACTTGTTGGATAGTGTAAGGGAATTTTTTTCCGGACGGAGGGAGTATCTTTCTGTAGCTGTTGCTGTAATATTTCCCAACCCTGATCTTCCATTCTTGCAAACACGGAGCATTTAGACGCCATAAAGGCCAAGCTGTTGTTGTGGAAAAGGAGGCTGCTTCCTCCAACTCTCAAAGGAAGAAGAGGAAGAAGCAAGCATCGCCCTCCAATCCCCTCATTGTCCTTCTGGAGCCTACCCTAACTGAGCCTCATCCCACAAGCTTGGGTTATGGTTCTGACTCCAGCAGATTTGGTTTCTTCCCAAGTCCCAATGGGAAATACTCCAGGGCCTACTAGGCTATTCATAATAGGGACAGCACCTCAATTATTTAAGAAATTAGAAGTAATCCAAAATCTCGTTCTGTCAGCATGCGGCTGAAGTAAGTAAAATCTCTTTTGATATGCATCTCTTCTTCCAATCTCATTTTTTTAATTGTATTATTAGACTTTAATGGCTACCACCAACTTTTCCTATCAGGTGATGGCCATATATCTTAGCTTCTGAGGCGGAGTTCCAGACAGACCAACTGACGAAGATTTTTTCCAGGCACAAAATGCTCATCACCCATAGTTTCCCGGCTCCAGGCTATGCTCATCACCCATAGTTTCCCGGCTCCAGGCTAAGTGCCAGACCTCGATGTGCATTACTGGTAATGCAAGTCACATCTAGAAGAACTTCAGCAATCTAAGGTCCTTACTTGAGGTGAAGTGGCTAAATATCAAATTTGGAGTTGAAACAGGAAAGGTAAACTGAGATAAAACAAAACTGCTAAACAATCGTAGCTAACCAGGCCATCTAAAATCCTCAGAGGAAGAAATAATGTAGTTTCTTTCCAAGAGTCACTGGAATGTTTAGAGTTCATAGTAAGTGTGTTGCTTAGTGTTTACATGATGGCCTTTGTTAATGTAAGTGTTTCTCTGTTTATAGAAATTCTCTACCAGCTATGCACAACCTAGGCTAACCACCGAACACCTGGTGGTTAGCACCACGCTTTAGACCATCTCTTCATCTATGATCAACCACCATATCTTGAGTGGTAAATAGCTTGATTTGAGAAAGTCTTTTTCCATTGAATAATGTCGTGAGTATCTAAGAGTCACAAAAATGTTTAGACCCCTAAGCAAGTGTCATCATTTACAAGATGAGCTTTGTAATATAAGTGTTTCTCCTTTTATAGGAGTTCTCTACGAGCTATACACAGTCTCAGGCTAACCACCAAACATCTGTTACCTCTCTTTAGATCGTCTCTTGATCTAGGATTAACAATTGTATCCTGGGTGGTTAATCAGCTCGATCTGAGGAAGTCTCCTTCCTTCGTCCTCTTATCTTTGACACTAGACATGGCAGAGTAGGGAAATTTCCACCCTGTCATCTCTCCTAGTCTCCTCATTGTCTGAAATTGGTTTTCAGACATATCTATCAAGTGGAGGTGTTTTCATACTCTTTGGCCTCAGAAATGGAGTGTATACTGGCTGGGCTTTCTCTATCTGGACTATGGGTAAAAATATAACATAGGCATGCTGGACCACCAACCACTGCTCCAGATTTTGGGCTTCTCTCGTCCTCTTAATTTGGCCCAGCCCATACTAAGGAGGCTGAGGATCTGAGTGGGTTGCTCTCAGCCTCAGGATCGGATGGGTGATCCATCACACCTCTTTAAACATTTTTATAATGTGACAAGTTGCGTTTTCTGGTTGCAATGCATATAGCCAAATATTTTTAGTAATCACTACTTACTGGCAGAATACTTAACAGTAATTGACCTAATTCTAGAGGCTAAATGTATTGACTAATAACAAAACTTCAGTACTTACAAGAGAAATGAGCATATTTTTGCTAAACGTGAAAAGTTCAGGTCTTTATTGGGCAATCACGATTCTTTAACAAAAATATCTGAAGTGTATGTATAGCTATATTATGGCATACCATCCAAAAGTTCATAGATCAAGACAAAATTGTTGCGGATGGCATCTTCATCAAAAGCTCCACCAAAATATGATTTAAATAAGGTAACTGCCTGTACAGATGTTGAATATTGTCATACACCCAGAGAGAACATGGATCTTAGAATGTCAAAAGTCGTGATTACTGCTCTCTATGCCTACGTAGACCAGGGTCATATATGAGTGCATTGGGTGCATTTACTTCGAGATTTTAGATCATAATGCAACTCCACTTTTTATATTAGATTTTGGATCATAATGCAACTCAATTTTTTATATTAGATTTTAGATTTAGTATAAGCAATGGAAAGAAAAAAATATTTGGGGCTTCTGTATATATTAAATGCATAGGTGAATGAAAAGGTCATCTATTTATGCAATATTAACATCCCTCATTCCATCAATTTTTCTTATGCAGACAGAGCTATCGCTGTGCAAATGATATTATTTTATTTATTTATTTAACAGGCACAGATATTTATGAAAATGAAGCTAGCATTCCCTTAAAATATAAGAAATTTATGGCTTTTATGCACATGTCGTGAAGCTCATATCATGACATTCTACTATACATGTGACTCTTTATGCCTCCAAATATCAAAAGTCCATATTTGCAGAACTGATACACAATAACATCATCTCCGGGGTAATAATTCACTAGACAATCGCATGGAGAAAATTCCGAATATACTAACATAAGTATATTAAGAAGGGGAGACTGACCTCAACAATGAACTTGAAAGCACATGCGACATTAGCATTGCTGCTGACAACAATCACTATATAGACATTACTAATTCTCATAAACAAGAAAGAGCAGCCTCCTATTTGTCTCACAGGGCACGTGCCAAGTTCCTTCGTCTGCATAATGTGAGTACGAAAGGCATCTACCATATTTCCCCTGATAGCATGAAAGATATGTTGTATGCATTAAACACTACTTTACCATAGAGAAACAAAATACATAATTACATATTCACTAAAACACAGGAGCATCAAAACTTTTCCAATGACATTTTATACTTATCAAAGTGTTCTGTTTAAAGTGCTGAACAATAGTTAGGAGATGCTCTTTTACATAACTAGAAGCTCTGGTTTAGAATAAACACAACTTTGGCATTTTAGTTCTTTTCAGTTTCTCAGCTAATGACTATATCATCCCATGATGGAATCACAAGCCCCATTCATCCGGGTCCTGATATCCGCTAAATAGAAATGAAAATACTTTAAAAAAATATTAAAACTGTGCTCAATTCAACAGATATTCTGACTATTAATTACAGCCTAGTAGCCTCAAAAGCTACACTAAAATTGTTCTGCTAATATATCTGATCCCAGAGTTATTTATAATATATCAAAACTTCCACCAGAAGTGATGCTCAATGTTACAACTTACAATTGAAATGAAGAATTTCTCAGCTGATTAGCTGAAAAATCAGTTATTTAATATACCTATGAAAAAATCGTTTCAAGAAGCTTCAAAGATTTGCCAATTTCAACCAGTTTTAACTATCAATCTATCATACTCACATCCATATACTTGAGTGAATTGGAAATGATATACACGGAAGCCAAACATCACACGAAATACAAAGCACCGCACTAAATCTCAATATCATCGAGCACTATTTTTTCTGAATTCCTAGAAACCCCAATAAAAAGACTAGCATATAAAACATCAAAAGGAGTTATGCATGCACATAAAGAAGTGCGAGGGATCATACCCGACATCATCGCGGTAGAGGCGGTTGATTAGGATGTCGCCCCTGAGATTTATAAAGTATATTGCAGAAGCTGCGACTGGCATGGCTGCGACCCAGAAGATCGGACTCAAGATCAGCAGCCAACAAGCCGAGGCGACGGAGTAGGGTCGGATCTAATATCAGAAAGCGGAATCGAGAAAGGAGAAGAAGATATTCAGAAACTGTGACTGTTTTGGGAAGAAATGTTGGAAGGGGAGGAGCAGTCAGCTCAAATCCCAGGTCTTTCCGTTGGAATTTTGATCCACATTGGAAAAGTTAGTGGTTAGAGCATCTCAACCCATGTACGGAGTATATGGTTAAATTTAAATTTAAGCTATATGCGATATATTATTCATTTTTTAATAGAATCTAGTTCCATGGCCACTGAAATTTAGTGGCTATGGAAATTATTGTTCCTCTACGAAACTCCGTTCATAAAATTGATTAATCTTACTCCCTAACCCCCAGTAAACCCTCTCACTCCCTGTCAAGTCCCGACCCAAACTAATCACTCCACTTACGTCAATTGCACCTCGTAAGTACTAAGTATAAAGTCAAAAGTTTTGACTTAAAGTTAATTATACTTACGAGGTGCAATTGACGTAGGCAGGGTGATTAGTTTGGGTCGAGACTTGGCAGGGGGTTAGAGAGGGTAGTAATCATCAATTTTATAAACGAAACTCTGTATGGGGGCAGTGGCTTTCGTGGCAACTGGAATTCAATGGCCATGGAACGGGGCCGTTTTTAATACTCCAATGGATAATGTAAATCAAATGCTAAAAAACACTACAGTGGAAAAAGCAATTCCCAACTTGTATATATACAAGATGGTGCAAACCAAATGCTAAAACAAATATTTCAATATTTAGTTTTAAAATAATACTAAAAATATTATTAATAGATTGGTTAGATTATGCACATCATAATTTGAAATTGTTTATGTAATCTGAAATTACGTACTTATTATGAAGTGGTGTTTGTAATGTTTATGTACGCACAATTTATGCATTTGTTGTGATAAACTTTGGAAGGCACGTTGAATGTGAAAAAATGTTTTTATTAATAATAAATCATTTGATGTAATGTAAAGTGATCCAACCTAAGTCCTAACTCCTTGTAAAGTGATCCAATAAAAACGTCTTTGTAAAGGGATGTTCAATTAAACCTTGAAAACCAAATAGAAGCACAAAAAAGGGCCTGCACTCTAAAATGAATCAAACCTATGTCATAAAGTACCTAATGGCAGCAAAAAAAATGGCAGAGCAACTGGATGCATAAACCTAATGCACATTTGACATCTTCTGGAATGGCTTGCATAAACCTAAAACTAGGCATATACCAATATGGCAGCATCTAATTCTGAAATGGGATGCATATACCAAAATGGCAGCATATACCTAAAACCAACAACATATACTTAATAGCAGCATATATATATTGGCAGCAGACACCATATCAAAACTCAAATGCAGTAAACTTCCAGTAACAAAAATCAGTAGGTATGAAATAAGGCAAGGGGAGAAAAATTTAACCATCAGCAAGGTACTCCATTTAATGGTTTGAAATACAAAAAAAAAAACATTTCACATGTTCATTACATAACATTGAATTCCCAAAAACAAAACAAAAAACTATATATCAATACTACACTTCTATTGCAGTTTTTTTCTTCTTTTGGTTCTTCTTCAGCAGCCTTCCTCATTCATCTCTACTCTGCCCACAGGTCTTGTAATTGTGGCCTAGCTGCTTACACTTGCTGCAGCGCTTGGTTCCATGAGCAATCCCCTTCTTTTTTGCTATTATATCATCAATTCCATCTCTTCTTTTGTGTTTCTTGGGACGCCCCTTCTTTTTAAAGTTCTTTGGGGGGTCTAGTTTTGGGAGTGATCTCTCATGCATGGATCCGGGATAGGGTGTGTGATACCATCATAAAGACTCCCATACTTGTCAACTGTAAATCAATCTTCACAGTAGCTCTCTAGCTTTTCATTCATCCTTCGAATGCATCTAACTGCATGCTTAAAAGGAATGCCTGACACTTGCCACCTTTTATAGTCAGTGGCAGATCCAGAAATTCAGGTAGATGGGGGCACAATTGGTCAGGGCAGCGCCCCTAAGTTTTTTAAAAAATAGATAATTTAAAATGACAAAAATAATGAATTTTATTTTAAGCATTTATTAAATGTAAAATTTTATTTAATTGAGAATGTAAAATTTTATTTTAAACAGTAAATTAAATGCAATAAAATACACTTTACTTCCATAAGACTAAACAAAAAAATTAAAAACTAGCTTAATTAAATAAGGTTCCATACATTTTTGTAGGAAGTAAATAATTTGAGATGGGGTCAATTCTAATTTTAGATGGAGGCATGTAGCCTATTGCATAAGAAACTTTTATTTTTTAAAAAAGAATTAATTTAACACTAGAATTTAGTTGGGGGCATTGGCCCCCAATTGTGTTCAAGTAGGTCCGCCCCTATTTACAGTCACTGTGAAGTTGGTGTTGCCATCAAGAACATCTGTAACACCCTAATCCGTCCAGTCTGCAGCCCCTTTTGGTAATCGTAACTTTTTACGTAAAAACTTGGTAATCGTAAAAAATTAAAACATTATTTCAACATCTTTATTCTTCATAAAATAATATTGAGTGCATAAATGTAGCAAAATACAGAGTGTTTAATAACAATGCAAAAGCAAATTTAAACCATGTCTCATAACAACACAATTATTTGTTTTAATCATAAATTCCACCACGAGTGTCTTGCCCCTTCCGCTGCTAGGAACATGTCAATCACTCATTCTGCCTACCTGCGTGTAGCAAATAAAACACACTACACGCTCAGCGATGAAGCTGAGTAAGCATATCTAAAGCGCCGAACATCCACATAAGTTGAATCTCAATTCATAATCAACCATTTGATATCATGCACATAATTTTCAATTCAAATATTCATTATTTAACAATATCTTTAAACTCTTCTTAGTCTAAGGCCAATTCAATTCTTAAACTTATTCTAGTTTAAGATATTCTTAACTAACCCTAAAGTTAGGCCTAGTTTAAGATATATTCATATTTAAACAGTTTTTCAAATCTTAAACTTACCTTCGCTTAAGGTCAACCAAAAACCGACAGCGTAGTGTTCACTGTATGTATGGTTGGGTGGTACCCCCAAACGAGTAGGTACTCAAGTTTGGTTCTTGGATCCCGTACGTACGTTTTAACCATAGCCACCGAGCATCATACCCGCAAGGCCTATTTTTAATCTATCTCAGAAGTCTTCTAGATAGTATTAGAAACCAGCATCAATGGGGATATGTCTTAAAGTTCTTCTAGATATCCTTAATAGTTCATCATCAATTCCAAATGGATATATCATAGAGGGAGAAAAACCAAAATAACACTCTAAGAGCATTAAAATACTCTAAATAGCAGTGCTATATGTTTCATACATGTAATTCCGATTTTGTCCTTTAATTAAACAGTATATGTTCATTATTCACTGCCAAAAAATATGATTATTTTGGGCAGTGTGGTTGTTCACTCGTAATTGTGTAGTGGGCAGTGTAGTTTTTTATATGTGAGTTTTTTATGTGGCAGTGTAGAATGAATATATGTTGTTATATCTTACGGCGATGTGTAAATGTATTATTGTGTTCCTTAATTTCATGTTGTAGTGTAATGTCCATTGATTTATGTGGCAGTGATTTCACGTATTAATTCTACACTGTCAAAAAATGTATGACTAATTTCATCTATGAATTCCACACTGCCCAAAAAATGTATAGCTCTTTTTATGTATGAATTCCACACTATTTTCATATATGAATTCCACACTGCCAAAAATGTATATGATTGTTTTCATTTATGAATTTCACACTGCTCAAAAATGTATGACTGATTTCATGAATAATCTATTATACCAAAACACACTGGCCAAACATGGGCTTGGCTTTTTTTGATCTTTCTTGATTTTGAATAATGTTAGAAGATGTTAGTATTAGACATATGTTGAATTTCATTTATGTGGTAGTGAAAAGAAACGGATAATGAAGCACACTGGCCAAAACATAGGACACAACACACTGTCAAAAAGTATACCTAGATCACGAGCATTTCACACTGCCAAAAATCTTTGAGCTTACACTTCATACTTTGTTTATTAAAGTTATTCAAGCACTTGTCATTTTGGTGATTTTTTTGTGTCCGCTTCCAATGAAGCTCAATGAATAATTTATTACATTGTGATTTTTAGATATAAATCCCATTCGACCAAAA